ACACCAATACAAACACAAAGAAAAAACAAACAAAAAAGCAAACGAAAACAAAAACCTAACAACAAACCCAACCACAAACACCAATACCAACAAAAAAAAAAACAACGAAAAAGCAAACGAAAACAAACCAAATCCAAACGCAAAACCAACCAAAAACACAAATACAAACCCAAACAAAGAAACACAAACAAAAACGAAAAAAGAAAGAACAAAAACGAACCAAATCAAAACGCAACCACTAACGCAAACCCACCTAAACACAAAGAAAACACTAACGCGAACATAAACGCCCGGGGCGGAATCACCTGTTTTAGCTTAATGAACGACTATAGTACCCCAACTTATTCATAGTCTTTTGCACTCACTTAAACGAACGCGCCTGTTTCAATTTGATGAACAATTTTAATACTCCAAGCTTATCCGTAAAATACCTACAACATTTGCACTTGATCAATCCCCGCTAATTATGTAATTATTTTTTTTCCCAACACCAAAACAAAGTAATTAAAAAGTAAATACTTTTCCACAAAATGCAATTGTTTTATAAAGGGAAGTAATTGTGTTTTTCCTAATTTATCAAAGGGAAGTAAGTGCTATAGGACTAAATAAAGACATAATTAGAATTTTTGTAAAAGATGATATATTTTTTAAAACTTGTGTTTAATGAACATGCCGACAATTATTACTATAATTTGAAAAATGAAAATGATTTCCCAACACTTTTAATAGTAATTTTTTAACTCATAAATTTAGACAAATGCGCACGATAATTGATCTAACACTTAAATCCGTAGAAATGCCAACGACAAACATATGCGTTACAGAATTGAGCTTTATATATTAGATATATATATATATACTAGAATACCCGTCATCCGTTGGATAACTGTGGGTTACAGAACTGAGCTTTATATATTAGATTACAAGTTTTACAGCAGGAAAAGCGTGGGTAAATAGGGGTTTTCTGGTTGAAAACTATTCTACGCTCCCTACAATGTCACAGCCTAGCTCAAAGACATATGCAAATATAGTCAACGTTCACAAAGGGGTTGCGCCCTCGGATGTTCCCCCTGGGCCGAGAGGCTTGGGGAGGAGCCTCCCGGACTACGGTCCGGGGGGTTTAATGAAATCCAGGGCCCAACCCCTTTCAGCCACCACCGCCATACTCGATCTACCTGATGAGGACTGTCCAGAACTCTTCCCGACTGACTCACCCACCATTCAAGTCACAATCAACTCAAGAGGTCAACCCAATCTAAGAGGTCACATCCTTCGTCAACTAATAAGCAACCAACAGATCTTCCTCCTCAATTATGGTCGTGCAGACACGTGGTTCTTCACATCAAATGCCTTCGACGTCACCACCCTACACAACACACACAAAACACACGGTCCCTACACACTATTCTTCACTTTACACGAAAAGAACAGAGTCAACGGAACCCTTAGGTGGGTCCCACCTACACTAAGCGATCGCACACTCATTAAAGCACTACAACCCTACAGTAACAAAGAACCTTCCATATACACAATCCCTCTCACCACCAACCGTAGCTTCTCCATACACACTGACAATCCAGCAATCATCCCCCACTACATCCAATTAAACTACAGAAACAAGTCACATAACATCCTAATAGCCATCAACGACAGAAAACAAGCCTGCCAAACCTGCTCGTCAACTTCACACTGGACCAACCGCTGTCAAACTCTCAACCTAGAATCAACGCCCAATGATCAAATACCAGCACAATCTACAGCTCCATCCGCTCTACAAGGCCCCATGCCAAGTAATCAGCAACACTCCTCAACCGAAGACGCAGCACCGAACCCGAAAACACCGCCCAAAAAACAGCCCCCAGCACAACAACCAGCGCCACCCGCCCAACCAGCAACAACACCAAGCAGCCAGCAAATAACTCCAATCGCCAAGCCACCTCCAACAACAAGCAGCCAGCTAGAAGCACTACCCGCCCAGACAACACCATCACCAAGCAAACAACAAGCAACGATCAAAAAACCGATCAACCCATCCAGGCCGGCAAGTACACCATCAACACCAAGCAAACAAGCAACTGCAGCAAGGTCGAAGTCAGACAAACCAGCTACGTCAAGAGCTCTAACATTGAACGCTCCGTTCTTTTTCTCAGACATGGACACCACTCTTGCAAGCTTCAAAAGGAAGAAGGAAGATAGCCCCACAGAGGAGAAAAAAATAATAAAATGTAAAAAATTTACTCATGACAACAAACGCTGTAGGTTCTGCCCAGAACAAAATAGAACAGCTGAGGAAACGGAAAAGCACGAACATAGAATGCACTATAGATTCTTACGGTGTGATCTTTGTGTAGACAAAGGGTACCACACAGACATATACGCGCACTTTGCAGAAAATCATCAAGAAGTAACACTGTATGACTGCCGAGATTGTACCGTATCCCTCCCATTAGAGGGCATGAAGGAGCATACAAAGGTACACCATGTGAGGACTCGCTCCTCGAAGTCACTCGTCGGTTTTTGAAAGAGAAACCAGGGTAAATAGGTATTTTAGACGTTTTGTAAATGTTTATGTAGGCCTATAAATAAAGTATCGGAAAAAAAAAAAAAAAAAAAAAAAAAAAAAATAACTGTGGGTTTCGGGGGTCATCCATCAAAAAACATCACGTCTGTCACTCAGAGGCATAGCGACCCTTCCCGGCGTCCGGGGACAAACTTTTCGATTTGAACCCACCCCCGCAAGATTTCGATTTGCAACCCCCCCCCCTAAAACTTTTGATGTGCACCCCCCCCCCCCCCCCACTCAAACTTTCGATTTGAGCCCCCCTCAACCTTTCAATTTATTTTTCGAAACCATTTTGGCGCCCCAACATATGTCCCCCCCCCCCGCCCCCCTTCCCCCCTTCCCCCCGCCTCCCCTCCCCCCGCCTCCCCTCTCCCTCCCGCCCCCCCCCTCCTCGCTACGCTAAAGCAGTGTCACTTATCGTCACAAAAAACAGACCCTACATTCAAAAATATGTTTTTTATCTTTTAAAAACACCGAAAACACCGATTTCGGACTATCCCTTCATATACTGACGTCACAGGTGATCTACTCAACTCTACTTCACCTGCCCAGTGTCCCGCCAAGTCTCAGACGACATGTTTTTATTGTTTAAAAAACGATTCCAGCCGAGCATGTCTCTGACCACACTATCCTTTCATATGCTTAGGACAAAGAAACAGATGAACTCTACTTCACCTGCCCTGTATCCTGCCAAGTTCAGATAGGCAATTCTATCATTCACATCTAAAAAAAAATTGAAAAAAAAAATTTCATTGACATATTGGTCTAGAACCTGTGCCACCCGCATGAGAGCCGGCTACACTACCAACTTAGCTATTTACTCGTGACGTCACAAGTGAATGTTTATACTATACTATGAGTCTCCTTATGCAACATGATTTACGCGCATAGATCTAGATCTAAGTCTAGTAGTAGTAGTAGTAACTTTCAAATTAAATTTTATCTTACATTAGCCAAACAAAGATTTATATAAAATAAAGAAGTTCTGAAATTATCTAGATCTAGATAGAATTATCTAGATCTAGATTCTACGACTCGCTTGCTTAAGTCTTAAGTTTAGTTTTTCTTGCTAGATCTAGATCTAATCATTAGCTACGCTGATAGGCCCGGAGCGAGCATTTCAAAATTACCATATTCCAAACAAAGATTTATATAAAATAATAAAGGTCTAAAATAGTTTAGTATATAGAAAATCACTGTTATCTAAATCTAGATAGAATTATCTAAATTTTAGATCTACGACTGAGCTATATTTAGAATTTACGTTTATTTTAGCAAAATTCCGGTATAGAAGCAGCATATGAATCTTAAGCTGCGCAAATACGCCCTGGAGCCAGCACTTCAAAATTTGCATAGTCGAAACAAAGATTTATACAAAATAATAAAGGTCTAAAATATTTTAGTATATAGAAACTCATTATTATCTAAATCTAGATAGAATTATCTATATTCTAGATCTACGACTGGTTTGCTTAAGTCTCGTTTCTTTTTTGGTTTGTATTTAGATCTATAACTAATACATTTTTGATTTGACCTAGATTTAGATTCTAGATTCTAGATCTATAAATAACTTTCTTGGACAAATTGTAGATCTAGAGAAATTTATCGTAAAACTAAATGAAAAAGACAGTTGAAAATTGATATAAGTGTTGGAACGTAATAAATACAGCAAACGGACGTATTGTTAAAGTTATGACCGACAGAAAATTAGATTTAGAACGCGTTAAACTTTTGAATGGGAACACAATTATCTTCGATAGACGCCGCCATTTTATTGTACTAAAGAGGAAACAAAAAACTGTGACGTCACGGTCCCGCCGAGTGTAGTGGCCGTTCTAAACTTTTTAAAAAAATAGAATTACTCTACGTATGAATAAATCAATAAATTAATTACCGTCTTTAAATAAATTTGTGATTAACAGTCTGTCTGCATTAAAAAATTATTCTCTACCTACATACTATTATACAGCTCTCCAGATAGAGTAGAGCATATCACAATACTCGATCGGACAAACAAACAAATAAATATTCAAACATGTAAACAAACTTGACTTTTAGTAGTATATATATATATATATATATATATATATATATATATATATATATATATATATATATATATATATATATATATATATATATATATATATATATATATATATATATATATATATATATATATACATATTCTATTTTTTAAAAAAACGACAAGTTCATCCTATCTATCTAGGTTATATCTAGCAGTAAACATCAAATAACGAGGTAGTCACATGCTGTGACATTTAGATCCGGTTTCTAAAATTAGCTGTGTTTTCCAGTTTGATAAATAAAACTCAAACGACGTGTGGCTAACATAACATATCCTGCACATTTGGCCAGCTGTTGTATGTATTCGTGTGACAGTGATGTTCTCTAGCTTTATCTGACATATAGGTACTATATACTTAGACTATATCACAATGTTTTTGAATGATTTGCACTGAATATTACGATGGCAAGCGAGGATATTTCACAGTTCTTTGAAGGTACATATCTGATTTATTCAATTCTTATGACAAAGGTTATTCGTGTTTTATTATTTCATCATTTGATAACTTGTCATTTGTTACAATGTTTAAAGACCCTTTTGGACGTAGCCCAAGGGTAGCGGTAGCCCTTTTTAAACATAGTAATCAGTGTTTCTTCATGACTTTTTTCTCCGGGGGGGGGGGCCAGTTGGAATTTTCGGAGGGGGGGGGGGGGCGGACTAAAATTTCAGGGGGGGGGGGGGGCGGTCACTGTTAAAGTATACATTTTCTATAAAAATTTCATTTCGTTCGATGGGGGGTAGACTTTCTACCTTCCCCCCCCCCACCCGAAGAGATGCCTGGAAGAAAATCAGATGATTATAGGTATACCCCCCCCTTTTCTATGCCTACATCACCAATACTGATGACTTTTTTTCGCTTTATAAATGTAACATTTCTCTATTTATAGGGATGTAGTTTAATTATTTTAAATACCTGATCCCGCTTTTCTTAAATGTTACGTTTGACCTTGACCTCACCAGGTCATCACGAGGTGGAGGAGTGCGAGCCAGACGATACAGGTGAGAGAGAAAACAACACCAACACCAGGTGGACAAGGTGTGCCAAGAACCCAGGTCACGTCGACTTTATTCCCATCAAAGACTTTTCTTTAAGTCACCTACCTGCTGGTTTCCAAGACTACGACTTGTACCGTCTGATTAAAGGCTTCGCTGATCTGACAGTCAGGATTAACGTTAAGTTTACAAGTTTGAAAAGACCGAAACTTTTAATAGGGACGAAAACTCCTTACCCCTGCTACAACTTGAGAGGAAGTAGTTTAATGAGGACTGGGACGGGGAAAATTTGGCGAAAAATTGAAATGTTTAAGGATCAAAATGATAAAACCTGCCCATGTCCTGTTTGTGTTAAGTCTAGCGAACCCAGCAAAACCTGGGCCAGGGTCTATGTAGCGACAGCAACACATGTGTTGTATGACGACACAGAGGTCGAGAAATGCGAGTGTGCTGTTGGGTACGATGACGTCACAGGTCCGAAAGAAACTCTGCGCGGGTGGTGCATGGACGCGCCAGGCGACAGCAGCGACATGACCTACTTTTCATGCGTGACCCACGACCTTGACCTAGCCGAGACCCTGGAGAAAACCCGGTTCGTGAGCGATGACCTGTGGGTGAGGATGTGGATGCGGTACGGCAACCCGTTGAGCACTGGTCAGCACATTACTGCCGTGCAACTCCTGGGGGACCTGTTCAAGCTGGTGGTACAACACAACAACTCGCCCAGCCAGCTCGCTTCTTGTACGTCCGCGCAGCAGGAGAGCCCTAAAGATGACCTGTTCAAGTTGTTGGTACAACACAACAACTCACCCAGCCAGCTCGCTTCTAGTACGTCCGCGCAGCAGGAGAGCCCTAAAGATGACAAGTTCATGTTTGTGGTCTCCCACCCACACGGCTACTTCAAGCATGTGTCGGTGGGCCGGTGGGTCCACAGACAGGAAGTATTAAGGGACGGCACCAAGTACACCTACACGTCTGCTACCTGCCCTGGCAGCAGTGGTGCCATCATTTACAGGCTGGGGTGTAACTGGTCTCTGCACCCTCACAGTGGTTCTAATAAATCGTTTAACTTCAGTGGGATTGGATTAGGGTAAATGGGTTTTAAGATGATGGGGGGGGGGGGGGGGGGTGAGGGTGATTTAGGCTAATGGGTGGTAAGCTAGGCTAAATGGGACTAGAATAAATTGGTTGTAACTTCAGTGTTTTGGACTAGACTAATTCTTGGAAGCTAGGTTAGGTTGGGTTAGGCTAAATCGGTTTTGTGATTAGTGGAACAGGATTAGGCTAATGGGTGATAATCTAAGCTAATCAAGGTTTATTGGGTTTGACAAAGCAAAACGTTGGACTAAGGTTAATCTAAGACGGGGGTGAAGTAAGCTAAATCTAAGATTTGTCGGACACCGCTTAAGCTAAGATTGGGGTCCACTAATTTTAGTCTAAATTTGGCTCTGGTAAAATAACCTGGATTGCAGATCAATTTTTATTTTGTTTTAGTCGAACTAAATGGAAAATAAACCAACAGAAACTTGATAAAAAAGTAAACAACGGCAGTAACACAAGACACATTAACAGTAGCGTCACAAGGCGAAAATAAACATTACCTAAACACATACTTTTCTTGCCGGTTTTAGTGTAGTTTTTAAGATACAATTGACATGATTTTATATTTAGGGCACACGAGCAAACATTATTTACAATAACGTTGAAATACATATGCTGTTAAAAATTAGAAAGTGGCCGGTATCGAAGATTGATTTGTAAAAATGTTATATAACAATATTACTGTTTCTTACTTTATTACGTTTACAGCTAAATACACTAGCTCCACTGTTCTATACATTTGTTTTTTAAACTTCTAGTAAAATATATCTTTACTTAATTTGATATGAGGCAAGTTACTTGTCATTTTTAAGTCATGTATACGTCAACAATAATGTAGGATACCCACGACTGTAGCCTATATACTAGTGATACGGATCTCGGGTCCATTCGTTAACTTATGTTCACAAAATGTAAATGTGTTATCGTTTGCTACTTATTACAGTTATGTATTTGTATTGCTAACATTATAAAAACTGATCATCATCATCATCACTCCTTTATGGCCCCTGGGGAGCAAAGGGCTGCAACCACACATCTCCAGCGGACTCGGTTTTGGGCTGCTCCTCTAATCTGTGCACATGATAGCCCAGCTGTTTTTGCCTCTTCCTCAACCGTTCTCTTCCATGTTTTCTTTGGCCGGCCCACCCTCCTTTTCCCCTGGGGATTCCAGTCCAATGCATGTTTTGCGATGTTTTCTTTTTCTTTTCTCAACGTGTGTCCGATCCATCCCCATTTTCGGGCCTTAATATCTTTCTCTATTGGCTGTTGCTTTAAAATTTGCCACTGATACTATCTGATAATTAATATTCTACATAACACTTTAAGTAAAATTTAACTAAATAACTATCACATTCTTTATTTATGGTATTATCCAATAGCAATGTCCATGTTATTTGTAGTTCTATTAATGATTCATTTAACTGTATTTTGTTTTGCCATATAGAACACAAATGTCTGCATTAAAAACAAATATCTTAGATACGGAAGTATTTACTTTGTTTTTCTGTGTAGTTTTCCAGTGACAAAAAAAAATAAGTAGGCCTGTATAATGTTTATGCTGGACGTTTTTTAGTCTGTGTGTTTGGTATGTTTGTATGGTCAGGCACACCGTTCCTAATACATTTTTTTACAAGTATCGCGATACGATTTTAGAAAAATATTTAAGTTCAATTCATCGATACATATTGTTAATTAAAATAACTAACCTAAAACGTTACTATGAGCAAGATAAAGTTCTATGTAATTAGACGATGTCTAATGTTAACTTATGTTCATATCCCTGTTTAACTACAAGAGCGGCGCTTTATAGGTAAATTATAAAGTAAGAACTAGTAAATAACACCTGTATATGTGGAGACATAAGAATGAAGGATCTAACTAAATCTTTTGATAGTTAAGATCAAACTATTGGTTCTAAACCTGACATGGCAACCCGTATTACACGTTAATCGACAACTGCAAATCATGCTGGGTTTACCCATACCCAAACGGATGATTGTGCATACCGATGTTTGATAATGGACTCTTCCGAAAATAGGTGTGTCAGGTTGTTAGTATTAATTTAATCTGGTATGTTTGGTAGAAACGAAAATCTTTAACTTAATCCATCGATTTAGTGGAATTTCTAGCACACTAAATCTATGAAAAAATGTTTATTATCAAAAGTGTGTACACACTGATGCATTCCTATAGTACCGCAGTGTGGGACCTTTTAATCGGTAATCTTTAACCTTTGACATGTAAGTATTTCTTATTTTATGTACGGCTTGGTCAAGAAGTAGAGCGAACCCAACAGTCTCGAGTTCTAATCCAAGTTTCAAGTCAGTATAACTTCCCTGAGTCCACCCAGCTCTGATGGGTACCTAACTCACGTTGGGAAAGTACAGTCCACTGGGATCAGTGCTGACCTTAATATCCCTTCATAAGCCGAGACCAAAAAAAAAAGGTTTACTCTACTTCACCTGCCCCATGGAACGTCGTGTTTAAAAAACGAGAACTTAACTAAACTATATAAGCGGCAGGGGTGTAGAGAGGGGGGGGGCGGGGGGTGCGGACCGCACCGGGTGACACCATTTAGGGGGGGGGGGGGGTGACACCAAGGCAAAAAATAGCAAAAGATATAGAGAAAAACTTGAGGGGGGGGGGTGCAAATCGAAAGTTTGAGGGGGGGGGGGGTGCAAATCGAAAACATGAAAGTTTGTCCCCGGGAAGGGTCGCAACGCCTCTTGGGGGGGGGGGGGTGACACCATTAAGTGCCGCACCGGGTGACACCCGACCTCACTACGCCACTGATAAGCGGTATACCATTCACAACAGAAAGGTTGGCGTAAGATGTATTTAACAAAACAGTTATTTAAACACCCTTCTACTGTCAAACAAGTATTTAGGTCACTGGTGTCAAATTTCAAGGAGTCATAAAAACATCCCGTCACATGCCTGTGGCTAAATATAGCTGGGATTTTCCTGTCAGATGATGAATATGTTTTTAGCAAGCACGGAAAGCTTGGTGAAGTAAGTATGTCATTTCTCTATACGTAGCAGGGGCGTAGCGAGGGGGGGGGGGGGGCGGGGGGTGCGGACCGCACCGGGTGACACCATTTAGGGGGGTGACACCATTTAGGGGGGTGACACCAAGGCAAAAAATAGCAAAATATATAGAGAAAAACTTGAGGGGGGGGGGGGTGCAAATCGAAAGTTTGAGGGGGGGGGTGCAAATCGAAAACTTGAGGGGGGGGGGTGCAATTCGAAAACTTTGAAAGTTTGTCCCCGGGAAGGGTCGCAACGCCTCTGGGGGGGGGGGGTGACACCATTAAGTGCCGCACCGGGTGACACCCGACCTCGCTACGCCACTGATACGTAGATGTAATCAAAGTAGTTTATATGTATCGGTATCACACGGGTTTGTATCATTACACATGTAATTAAATCCTTTAGCACACTTTGTTAATACAGTGACGAACAGACGCTAGCAAGCTGTGTACATGTTGTAGTCTAATGAGTGTGTTTCAGTCGCTTCATACCTAACAAGGAAGTTAAAAAACCAAAAATATGTAGAATGCACACTTAGAAACAAACCAACAGATACTCAACAAAACACACGCACACACACACACATATATATATATATATATATATATATATATATATATATATATATATATGAATTAATATTCGTATTTTTGCACGGACCTGTTTGTTTTGTATGTATACGTACACCCCGTAAAACAGTAATAAGTATTTCACCGCACCCTTTTGAGATTTTGTCCAATAAAAGTATATAAATACAGGCTGTTTAAAGTCCACATGGTTGAACGTTTTCTAAAAAAACCTACGAATACTTAGATGGATTTTTCTAAAACATTGAGTTGTAATCCTCTATGTTTTACGAAAATTCCGTATAGTTTGGGGTCATCCATGTATGACCTCAACATAAATCTAAATTTTAGACCACCCCCCTTTCCATTTCACCCCCCCCCCCTCTGGACCTGGACGTCTAAAAAATTTACTTCTAATTTAATATTTTACTACAATGTGTTAAATAATGATATAACTTATATAGGCCGACGAATACAGTTTTTTTCAGTTATGTTCATTGTACGTTCTAAAACTTCAAAGTATAATCATAAGTGTAGTGAGAAAAATAAGTAAAATATTCAAAATATATTGCTTTAAAAAATATCTTTCTGTTACCAACCGAAAACGTATGCAAAATATACTTCCTTGTTGTAGGAGAAAACATATGTTAAAGTATTATTTTTGAAGCCGTAGGGTGTATTTTTATAAAACATATTAATATCTTCCCTGTTACTTCAAGTTGTTGAAACATGTTATTCTTGTTAATTACAAAACAAAATGATACATATATGACCTACACAAAATTAACCTAGCTCAATAAATATTTATTTAAAAATGCTGTTTATTTTTGTCTGTAATTTTTAAAGAAATTATTGAATGACTTGTTGCGTAACGTTAGCTGTTGGGTTTTAGCTTTTTAGTGACGACGCCTAACTTTGGAGCTAGTTAGTCAAGGATACTACATGCTTTCACACAGCAAAACTCAATCAAATCTTTCTTTTTTAATATCAAGAACGATAGCCAGCTGCTATGTGCATAAATATAATGTATAAAGTATACTCATTTTACATCATTCCAATTTTATTTTTGTCTGTTACAGCTGGGCAAGTTAAATTGCGTTTAACATTAAATACAATTGTTAAAATGGCAAGCAAGGATATAACACAGTATTTTGAAGGTATAAATACACAGATTATATAAATTTATATATATAGTTATGTATATATAAATACGTATACATATACATTATGTGAGGCTGATATTTTTTCAAAAATCGATTTGCATAAACGATATCAATTGACTAGACCGTTTCTTTGACATTTGTTGCAAAACCTCAGATGTAAATATTCTAAAATTATAAGTGTCTAACCTTGACCTCACCAGGTCATCACGAGGTGGAGGAGTGCGAGCCAGACGATACAGGTGAGAGAGAAAACAACACCAACACCAGGTGGACAAGGTGTGCCAAGAACCCAGGTCACGTCGACTTTATTCCCATCAAAGACTTTTCTTTAAGTCACCTACCTGCTGCTTTCCAAGACGACGACTTGTACCGTCTGATTAAAGGTATCGCTGATCTGACAGTCAGGATTAGCGTTAAGTTTACCAGTTTGAGAAGACCACAGTTCTTAAACGAGACGTCCACACCTTACCCTTGCTACAACTTGAGAGGTTCAAACTTACTACGGAACGGGACGGGGAAAATTTGGCGAATCGATATTGAAACAACTGATGGCGATAAAACCTGCCCATGTCCTGTATGTGTTAAGTCTAGCGAACCCAGCAGAACCTGGGCCAGGGTCTATGTAGCGACAGCAACACATGTGTTGTATGACGAAACAGAGGTCGAGAAATGCGAGTGTGCTGTTGGGTACGATGACGTCACAGGTCCGAAAGAATCTCTGCGGGGGTGGTGCATGGACGGCCCTAACGCAGAAATTGATCTGGCTTATTTTTCTTGCGTGACCCACGACCTTGACCTAGCTCAGAACCTGTAAAAGATCCGGTCAGAGATCTACAGCCTGTGGGTCAGGATGTGGCAGAGGTACCACAACCCGACGCTGTTGGGTCAGGATTTTGACGTGGCCCGTCAGCTCAGTGAGATCTGCCTGAAAGTCTGGAAGGACTGCGGTTTCTCTGCGACCTACGGGCTGGATGAAGAGACCGAGCGACAGCTGTGTGACCAGGTGGGCGCCAGATGTCTGCAGTACGAAACACCCGATCAGACTTTCCACAAGGGAGAGAATCTTCTGTTTGTGGTCTCCCACCCACACGGCTACTTCAAGCATGTGTCGGTGGGCCGATGGGTCCACAGACAGGAAGTTGGATACAACAGTGGAACTAGGTACGCCTACACTACTGCTACGTGCCCGGGTAGCAGTGGTTCTATTATTTACAAGCTGGGGTGTAATGTCTCGCAACATCCTCACAGCGGTTCTAATAAGGCGTTAAACTTCAGTGGGGTTGGGCTAGGCTAATGGTCAGTTATGTTGGGCTATGCTTAGTTGGTTAGTCAGTTAGGTTGGGCAAAGCTAACTGGATTGTTCATTAGAGTTGGGTTTGGCTTAGTTAATTGGTAAATGGGGTCGGACTAGGTTATAGTTTAATAACTTCGCAATAAAATTGTGATTTTGTTCCTATAGTTGCAATTAAATTACTTGAAAGTAAAAAAAAACTGTTTCCGACTTGAAGTTTGAGTGTTCTCCAGGGGAGATAAATGAGGAAGCCAAAGTGAAAGACTAAGTGAAAAAAAAAAGCTTTTGCCAAAAAAACAACAACTAGGTAACTAGACAGTATTCAATATACAATGCTTATTAGATGTGTGTATAATATGTGTAAGTAGGCATTATTTCACATGCAATATTTCTTAGATGTGTATATAATATGTATAACTAGGCATATTTCAACATACAATATTTCTTAGATGTTTATATAATATGTGTAATAAGGCATTATTCAACAAACAATTTTTATTAGAAGTATACTATTATATAATATGTGTAACTAGATATTACGCATACCCCATTAACTAAATGTGTCTATATAGGTAATTAATACAACCTTATAGGAATACAAGGTTGTTTTAGAGGATTCAAAAAAGCCCGAATATCATCACAGTTAAAAATAACAAATGGTTATTAACCTTACACTAAAATGTATTCAACGGCAACACAAACGCCGCTTTAAATATTTATATGTTTAGGCATTGCATTATTGTTTAGGGCATATAATTAAGTGTATTTTATTTAAAAAACAATGCATACTTTAAAAACATGTTGGTTGAATTATTAATAATTTTGATGAGCAGTTTATCTATATTTATACCCTTATTAATTAATGTTTTTGATTTTTCCGTGTGCATATATATATATATATATATATATATATATATATATATATATATATATATATATATATATATATATATATATATATATATATATATATCTATATATATATGTAATATAATATTTATTATGATAGATTTCAGTTTTAAACATATTTATAATTTTAATTAATTACAAATTTAGTTATGCGCCAAATGTGTATCAATCTATATTTATAATTGAAGTTCCTGTATTCTTGTGCAGATATTATTGTAATTTTTGTGTGTGATAAATTTTGACTCAATTTTTCAAAATACATTTTTTGTACAGGTCAGGTTGCTGTTTATTTTCCTCTTCTTTTTACTTTCTCGTATATACGAAGTATAGAGAAAGTATTGTAATCGTGCAAAAGAAAAAAATCGAGATTTTTACAAATCTCGACGTTTTACATCTAACTGATACGGAAAAACATAATTTTGCAATCTTGTCCGTATGTCTGTGTGTCTGTCTGTGTTTCTGTGTGTCTGTGTGTCTGTCTGTCTGTCCGTGTGTAAACACGATAACTTGAGTACCGTTACAGCTAGGTTGATGAAATTTCATATATAAGTATTATATCAAAATCGTAGATCCGTATCAACTTTTGAGCGATTTCCGATAACCGGAAGTGGTACTTTTCCTACTTTGAATTTTTCAAAAGCCTATAACTTGAGTACTATTTCAGATAGATAAATGAAATTTCACTTGTAAGTAAAAGATCTAATTCTCTACCTTGTGTTAAATTTTGAGTAATTTCCGTTGACTGGAAGTAGTAATTTACGCTACTTCCGATTTCTCAAAAAACTAATGTAAATTTTAAAAGTACTAATAATATTGCGCACTATTATGCGCTTTTTTATTTGGCGTTTACTTGGTGTGCAATTAATTTGTCTCTATTTTTAAAACTTTAAGTATTTAAAATGGATTAAAAATCATGTCTGTAGCCCGAGTTCCCATCCCCTGTTATTTTATATAAGAATATTCGAGAAAGTTTAGGGGAGATCACTCCCGGTTTATTTTTTATTGTAATGTCTAAAAGGTTTTCAATTTGTTTGCAGCAATTTAAATAAACCGGGAGTGATCTCCCCTAAACTTTCTCGAATATTCTTATATAAAACAACAGGGGATGGGAACTCGGGCTACAGACATGATTTTCAATCCATTTTAAATACTTAAAGTTTTAAAAATAGAATAAAATCTAGTAGACAAATTAATTGCACACCAAGTTAATGCCCAATAAAAAAGTGCATAATAGTGCGCAATATTATTAGTACTTTAAAATTTTACATTAGTTTTTTGAGAAATCGGAAGTAGCGTAAATTACTACTTCCGGTCAACGGAAATTACTCAAAATTTAACAGAAGGTAGAGAATTAGATCTTTTACTTACATGTGAAATTTCATTTATCTATCTGAAATAGTACTCAAGTTATAGGCTTTTGAAAAATTCAAAGTAGGAAAAGTACCACTTCCGGTTATCGGAAATCGCTCAAAAGTTGATACGGATCTACGATTTTGATAAAATACTTATATATGAAATTTCATCAACCTAGCTGTAACGGTTCTCAAGTTATCGTGTTTACACACGGACAGACAGACACACAGACACACAGACAGACACACAGACATACGGACAAGATTGCAAAATTATGTTTTTCCGTATCAGTGAGGTGTGAAACGTCGAGATTTGTAAAAATCTCGATTTTTTTTTTTTGCACGATTACAATACTTTCTCTATACTTCGTATATACGAGAAAGTAAAAATAATTAACAAAGCGTTTTTTTTTTTCAAAAATCATTTTCTAGACCACTGATAAAAAATTTTGATAAGTAAAACTGGTATCAAAGGTAAATAAATGCTATTTTTAGTCATATAAGTCTTAAAAAAAATAATGTTTAAAATCTTAAGCATCACCGTACTTATATAAATTGTGTTTCAAATATGAAAGCCCTTATGGTACGCACGCGTAAAACAATTATGGTAGATGTTATTTTGGAGGTCACTAATGTAGACGTGTACAAACCATTTTAATGGGCATGTCTTAGCCAGCCGTGCTAGAAAAGAACAAAAAAATAAATACACCGGGAGTGATCTCCCCTAAATTTTCTCGAATATTCTAATATAACACTACGTGGTGTGGCAAATCGGAATATAGACATGATTTTTGTTTACTTAAACTTTTAGAAATAGAATAAAATCTAGTAGGAAAAAAGAATTGCGCACGAAGCGAACGTCAAAACAAAATGTGCATAATAGTGCGCAATATTTGAGTACTTCATAAATTTACATGCGTTTTTTGAGAAATTGGAAATAGGGTAAATTAGTACTTCCGGTAAACGGAAATTACTCATAATTGGATTGTAGGTAGAGAATTAGATTTTTTACTTACATGTGAAATTGTATTTATCTATCTGAAATAGTACTCAAGTTATAGGCTTTTGAAAAATTCAAAGTTAAAAAGTACCATTTCCGGTTATCGGAAATCGCTCAAAAATTGATACGGATCTGCGATTTTGATAAATTACTTACATATGAAATTTCATCAACCTAGCTGTAACGGTACTCTTGTTATCGTGTTTAGAGACACACAGACACACACACACACAGAGACACACACACACACACACACATACACACAGATATACGGACAAGATTGCAAAATTGTTTTTTTCCGTACCAGTGAGGTGTAAAACGTCGAGATTTCCAAAAATCTCGATTTCTTTTTGCACGATTACAAGACTTACTCTGTACTTCTTATATATGAGAAAGTAAAAAAACACAAAACAAATATTTTACATTTGCACGGTTCAACACTGGTGCTAGAACTGACGTAAACAAAGATGAAGGAAAATCCATTTTCATACAATTCGGTAGTGGAGTTATTCGGTGAGATGTAAAGTGATAAATATTGGAGTTTTATACTGGTTCTATAGGTACAATTATGTACATCTAGACACGTTTATGGGCAGGTATTATAAAGATAGGTGTGATGATGGCAGGTATTATAAAGATAGGTGTGATGATGGCAGGTATTATAAAGATAGGTGTGATCATTGCAGGTATTATAAAGATAGGTGTGATCATTGCAGGTATTATAAAGATAGGTGTGATGATGGCAGGTATTATAAAGATAGGTGTGATCATTGCAGGTATTATAAAGATAGGTGTGATGATGGCAGGTATTATAAAGATAGGTGTGATGATGGCAGGTATTATAAAGATAGGTGTGATCATTGCAGGTATTTTAAAGATAGGTGTGATGATGGCAGGTATTATAAAGATAGGTGTGATGATGGAGGTATTATAAAGATAGGTGTGATCATTGCAGGTATTTTAAAGATAGGTGTGATGATGGCAGGTATTATAATGATAGGTGTGATGATGGCAGGTATTATAAAGATAGGTGTGATGATTGCAGGTATTATAAAGATAGGTGTGATGATGGCAGGTATTATAAAGATAGGTGTGATGATGGCAGGTATTATAAAGATAGGTGTGATGATGGAGGTATTATAAAGATAGGTGTGATCATTGCAGGTATTATAAAGATAGGTGTGATCATTGCAGGTATTATAAAGATAGGTGTGATGATGGCAGGTATTATAAAGATAGGTGTGATGATGGCAGGTATTATAAAGATAGGTGTGATGATGACAGGTATTATAAAGATAGGTGTGATGATGGCAGGTATTATAAAGATAAGTGTGATGATGGCAGGTATTATAAAGATAGGTGTAATAAAGGCAGGTATTATAAAGATAGGTGTGATGATGGCAGGTATTATAAAGATAGGTGTGATGATGGCAGGTATTATGAAGATAGGTGTAATAAAGGCAGGTATTATAAAGATAGGTGTAATAAAGGCAGGTATTATAAAGATAGGTGTGATAAAGGCAGGTATTATAAAGATAGGTGTAATAAAGGCAGGTATTATAAAGATAGGTGTGATGATGGCAGGTATTATAAAGATATTACTCGAGTTACAAATACTAGAGTTGAGCCATGTGCGTGTGTTTTAAAAAAAATATTTAAAGAACAATTTAGTTTGATTAAATATTTAAAGTAAAACAACATAACGAATTAATTTATAAAATAGACACCACTAAATCTAAAATTATGTACTTTGTAAAATAAGGAAAAATGTAATTTCATTATATTACCTTGATGCGGCTGATTCTAGTGGTGACCACACTCTTTTCATATGCCGAGGTCTCTGAAGCAGATGAACTCTACTGTTCCATGTGTCTTGTGAAAATCTGAGTGGATTTTCCAAATTACTCTGGCAATTATTCCCACTTCTCTATAGATGTACTTGAGTAGAGCAGTGGCGTAGCGAGGTCGGGTGTCACCCGGTGCGGCACTTAATGGTGTCACCCCCCCCCCCTCGCTACGCTCCTGGAGTAGAGCCATGCAAATGTAACATGAAAACATTTTCTAAGCGATCGAATGCCAATTTACTAAAAAACAACTAGGCCTATATCTGTACAATATTTTGTTCTACAATGACCAATAGCTGTATAGAAATAAAGTCATTAGTTTAAAAAATGTAATCACTCTAACATTCATTACTACTTGGTTTCACGATTGACGCTATTCATATCCCTGTACGGATAATAATAATTAGCACAGTGTTATACATTATTTGGCCTAAGTTACTGGTCTCTTCTTTATAATATGTACACATTGGAACTGTGATATTTTTTTTTGTTCCGTTTACAATACAAAATTGCTTCAAAGTAAAATAAACCGAACTGTTTTGTTAAAATAATTTTTTAAGAGGTAAGAATTACCTACTGCCCTTACGTCTGGTTTAAAGCCAAGGCTCTCTATTTTGGTTTAAATATAAATAAACCATATTAATTAAGCTAATTTATAATGAAATAAAATTCTTACTCACAAATTCTTCACGACTACGTAAATTAGAAATATAAAAAAATGAAATAATGCTAATAAAGAAATAGAATAAATTATAAATTCTATTGATGATCTGACGGCAATATATATATATATAATATATATATATATATATATATATATATATATATATATATATATGTATATATATATGTGTGTGTGTGCATTAATACCACACTTCAGATCGTCTAGCTCTATCAACATAATATCAGGTTGACAAATTGTGATTTTAAAACAATTGTTCGTCTCCAACCAATAACAAGAACGTAAAAACATACGTCTTCAGAAGATGAACTTTCTCATCGTTATATGTTTCCTCATCCAGCTTGCAGGTAGTGTAATCCTTGTTAACAGTTTATGTTACAACTTACATATAGTGTATCGCTGTTTTATCTGATTGTTTTACCATACAGTCATATTTCATTGTATATCGTTCTATTCTATTTGAAATGCAGCGTATAAAACAACACTTATCTAAACATCTAACAGCTTTCTCCAGTAGTTGCAACATTACCTATGGAAGATATTGTTACTTTATAAGCGTGGAGGGAGCCAGGTGGCTGGAAGCAAAAGTAAGAAAAATTTCGTTAACATAATATAGTTGTCCAAATTTGCGTTTCATTATTAAAATTATGTTTATAGAATATTTTGTTTTCACCAACTCAACAGTGTTCTCTATTGCAATATGTAAAATATTTGCATGCCAGCTTTGACACAGCTAGTCTGAGGCTGCAATAAATTAGCTTACAAAAACGCAGCAACTCGTAGAATATTTATTTTTAATGTACCCGTCAACTAACTATTGTAAACATCGTATTTTTAAATATGAACAGTCAGTATAATACGCGTACATATGTCTCTCTCTCTCTCTCTCTCTCTCTCTCTCTCTCTCTCTCTATATATATATATATATATATATATATAGGTGTGTGTATTTTAATATAATACAGAAATCGTGTACGGATCGAAATTACAACTTTGTCAAATTTACCACATTTGAAGAACTGGCTCAATTTACCATTCAAGCAAGAACATACGGTTAGTTACACAATGCACTTGTAATGTCAGTATTCCAAATTCCATGACGTTTTGTGTCACAAGCGTAGTGCAAATTATGGTATACTCCACAAATAACAAACCTATTAGTTAACCTGTGAAATAATCAGACTCTTTATTTCTAAAATGTTTGACGTCTTATGATAGGAAGGTTTTTCGACAAAAAGGCAATCCTATTAAGTAAAGCTTGTGACAATTTAAAATAAATAGGCCTACACCAGGGGTCGGCAACCTTTTGAAGCGGAAGAGCCAAAAGTTACAATTTGCAAAATTCCCCTGGTTTTAAAGAGCCACTAACATTTTTTTTAATTCAAATATTTTTTTTTTATTAAAATTATTAGTATTTGTTCAAGGAGCTGGAGAGCCGCATTTTGATATCAAAAGAGCCGCATGCGGCTCGCGAGCCGCAGGTTGCCGACCCCTAGCCTACACTGCTATCGTGTAAGTGGGCCTACGCCAAATTACTGATAAACACTTGCCCTAAAGTCGTTTGGCTTAAGCCAATTTATCGAAAGACACTTGCCCAATTGTCGTTTATCTTAAGGCTGCTTTTTCGAAAAGACACTTGCCCAATTGTCGTTTATCTTAAGGCTGCTTTTTCGAAAAGACACTTGCCCAATTGTCGTTTATCTTAAGATGGCTTTTTCGAAAAGACACTTGCCCGAAAGCAACGAATGCCGGATTGGACTTTTACCTGAATGCGACTAACAGAGCTTCTTCCAGGCATCTCTTCCGTGGGGGGGGGGGCTTAGGGCCCCCCACACCGAAAAAAATCTACCGCCCCCCCCCCCCCCCCCCCCCGAACGAAATGAAATTCATATAATTTATATAGAAATATATACTTTTAACAGTGTCCGTGTCCGTCCCCCCTCGAAGAAAGTCGACCGTCCCACCGAAAAATTTCAAGTGCCCCCCCCCCCCCCGGAGAAAAAAGTCTGGAAGAAAGACTGGCAACTAAATGACTGTGTGCGTCAAATGCACGTAAAGATATTTTCCCGAACCCGTGAGCCCAATAGACGAAAGCCTGGGAAAGTATTAATTGTATATATTTCCAAGTAGACATCCATAAGAAATTTAAACGTCATTTTTTGAGAATCCAAACCATTCTAAGTATTTGAAACAATGCATTATCAAATAGAAATTATAAAAAAAAAATATTAATATTTACATATACAATTTGTTTAAAATTTCCTAAATGAATCTTAATTTTTTATCAAGCAATCGCCGTACAAGTTGTCTAAAATAGTGAACGTTAAATAAAGACATAGAAGTCTACATTTAGATTTTAAATTCGCCGTGTACACCGTAATGATATCTATCTATATATATAATTCTCTTCTTCGAGCCGTTAGAAAACAAGCTGCAAACGCTCTCCCTACCTCCCCACCCCTACATGGTTTTAGTGAGCTGTGTTCACTCTAAATGTTTACAAGCAGAGCCAACGATTTTAAACGTAGGGGGGGGGGGAGGAGGAGGGGGGGAGGGAAGGAAGGGGGGGGGGGGTTATGGTCCTTAACGAGCTACTTATAGTGTTTTAAAGAAATATTTTCAGTGTCAGCGTTGGTACTGTCGAATTCACAAATTATGAATTATTGAAAATTAGAAACAACTAAATAGCGGCGTATGTTATGCCGCGGGCCGGCTCGTATATATAAATAATTCTCTTCTGGAAGCCGTTAGAAAACAAGCTGCAAGCGCCTCCTTACAGTCCCCTCTCTTTCTCTCTATCACTACCACCCCCACCCACCCCCACATGGTCTGGTGAGTTGTGGTCACGCTAAATTAATTGTTTACAAATCGTAGAGCAGGGTTTAGTGACGGCTATTAGGGGCAGATAATTTAGTTTCAAACGATGTTAAACTTACAGGAGGTAACTAAGAGGAGGCTGCTTTCACGGGGGGGGGGGGGGGGTAGGGTCGGGGTTAGGGGAAAGGGGAGGGGTTAGTGTTTTAAAGCAAATATTTTCAGTGGCAGTATTGGTACTGTCGAATTCACAAATTATGAATTACTGAAAAGTAGAAAATAAAACAACTAAATAGCGGCGTATGATACGCCGCGGGTCGGCTCGTATAATATAAATCGCTATGTAGTGTGTCAGTCCGTCCTGGACATAGCACCTAGAAACATACAAGTAAACAAAACCACATGTTGTGCATTTTACTTGCATCGTATTGTCTTAGCAATGGAGTAGGAGTTTGTGTTTTCTTTTGCGTTTGCGTGTTGCGTGTTCCGTTTGCGCTGTGTTTTTGTTTTTGTTTGAGTTTGTGTTTTCATTTGTGTTTGTATTTGTGTTTGTGTTTATGTTTGGTTTTGTTCAGTTCCCATGTTGGTACTTTTTAAAAAGATCCATCGTGGCAAGCACTTGTATGAAGCTAGTTGTAATATAGCCATCGCACTACGGTGGTTAAAGAAGCTGTTTAAACCATAAATTAAAAGACTGCTACATGATCTACATGTTATATTTTTGAACAGATGCCACAGTAATCGAATATAACACCAAAAGAAAACCACGTTGCAAGAAACATCCAATCTCTCTATCTGCGTTATGTAACAAATCACTTATGTTAAAACCTTTTAAAAACAAAGCATACTGCTTTGCTTCATTTATGTTTTAGAACAAATTTTGCTTATTAAATTACATAAGCCTATACAAATTAACCATTTACTAAGTTTTACACTCTAGCTAATTAGAAACAACAATGTTCAATATATATTTTTTTTAATTATTAAAAATCAGAAGTGTTCCTTCTTTCTTAAATCTGGGGGGGGGGGGGGGGTAGGATAGGTGTCTGGTTGCACGTCTGATTTCTCGATATTCTTAAGTTCACATCATGTAAAACAAACTAGTGACCAATAAGATATACATAAATATATATATATATATATATATATATATATATATATATATATATATATATATGTATATAATGTTATTTTGTATTTTGTCAAAAAATAACTTGAAACAAACTAGAAAGCAATAATATTCAGTTGATGTTACGTTTTATTTTGTGTAGCGCCAATGCAAGGGAAAGATTTCTTCTGGGCAGGTGTAAGTACCTTTTATTCCAATGGGCCCGATCTCCGGCAGGCGAACGATAGCACTGCTGATGCCGCCATTACAGAAAGTCCCACAGCTAAAATAAACGACTCGTGTACAATGGTGGATAAAAGGAATGCCAAAGTTACAGGATCCGACTGTCTCCTCAAGCTACCGTATGTGTGTCAGATGAAAGGTACATTTCCATAATACAACATGTCTGTTGGAAATATTTTATAAAAATGCTATTTTTGTGCTTAAAAAATCGTCGTTGTTCTCAAAATGCAATCAATATAGATCACGAATTACAGTTTTAATAAACTAATAAAAAGTCATAATTACCAGTGATTTTCTTATCTGAGGATATGTCCCCGTTACGTGCGGCATCTAATTGGCCAATGACAAAACGGCCCCGCCAAAAGGGCCAGCGACAAAAGAAAACCCCGTCACATACGTTCCAGAAAAATAGAGTCCCATCATTTAGGCTCCCGACAAAAAGCCCCCGTTATTAAGACTCACGACAAAACGATATCCGACCAATAGTCTCCTTTCATTTTTAGCTAGACAAAAGGGCCCTTGTGTTTCCATAAAGATTAGGTCTTCTCGCAAAGGTCGAAATTGAATATGACACCTGAAAGTGGGGCCACTACATCAATACTATTTATAATAAGCTGAGCCAACACTCTAATCTAACACATGCATTTCCTGTTTCGGCAAAAATACACCGTCAAAACGGTCCGGGACAAATCGGCCCCGTCAAAACGGCCCAGTCAAAATAGCCCTGCCAAAAGGGCCCTGACTTATCGTCTCCCGTCAAATTGACTCCCGTTATATTGACTCGCGACATATAGGTTCCCAACAAATTGACTCCTGGCTTATTGGCTCCAGACAATTAGGGAAAAACGACTGGTCATTTTTTACCCATTTCTAGATTTTTCCTGGATATGGCGTTTCTCTGTCACCTCATAGCATATCAAGGGGAGTCGTTTGGCAAAAGTTTTTTTTTCGATATATAGTTAATATAAAGATAATTCGTGGACTTAGTGGCCGACCGGCACCCACCCCGGTGTTCTACAGCCCCCCCCCCACCGCCGTAGAGATGCCTGGAAGAAATTGTGCACTACGTGTTTCACCAGAAGTTCGCGTGTGGGACGAGCCTTCCCTACGCTCCACGCTGTGGCTATAACGATAAGAACGGAAGGAATGACACACTACCTGAGGGTTTATATTATAGAGAATATACATATTCATATACATACACATATACACATACATTTTCACATTTTCAGTAATCAATGTTGGGGATTGTTTCAATGGATGGTTCAGTCACCAATGTCAGTATAGTGAGTATTCTAATGTTTAGGTATTAGCTCACAATTAACATTACTAATGCATACACTTTTTACCTACACGTAGGCAACTTTACTATAACATGTTTACTAATATGTGTAGTTTAAGTATTACAATATTTATCATAACTTTGAAAGATTTGCTGTTGTTGCATTTGTGTTTATTGTAAGTATTAGATTGTAACTCCTATATACTTCCAACAAATTCTTCTTCGTGAGTATCTTAAGACTGGCGGAGAGTGGGCTGGGGATAGAGGGAAGCAATTAACGACTTCTACAAATGTAAATAGAAAAAAATGTTATTTATTCAATTTATGTCTAACGATTATGCTTTTATGCTGTTCTATGTTCTATATTTGCACATTCCAACAGGGGATTTGATAACAGCAGTAAAAACGATAGAACCTCCTGACTTCCTTTATACAAACAATCGCAACTGCACGCCAAGAGACACGTTAGAAGTAACATTTAAAAGAATGATTTACTTCAAATCATTGCAACTATTCTTTAAGAAAAAAGGTTATTTTACATTTAAAAATATAGCTTCTTCACTACACACTCACAAAAGCAAACGCACGTACATTAATAAATACTTGAGAATATATATATATATATATATATATATATATATATATATATATATATATATATATATATATATATATATAAGAGAATGATTAGACATTTTGTAAAATAAATAAACAATAATTTTGAAATCAAAGTTGCGGTAATGTATATGTTAGTTATAAAACAAAAATACGTGGCATTAGAAAAAAAGTCAGTGTAAGATTATTTCCGGGTCTCACAAAATATTGTACATCTAAACGTAGTTAATGTGGTAAACATTGCATGTTACGTAAATTAAATGTATGATTTTACAGAGAAGCTCCACAACACGACATTGGTGTTTACATTGTCAGACGGAACAAAAACAGACTGCGAAGATAGTTTAACATATTGGGTGGATAGCCTCACTTTGGAAGTTCAATGTACGATACATATGTTTATAATCCACGTGAAAGTCAATTTATATTTTAAAGCATCAATTTGCAATGTAGCATTCAACGGAGGTAAGTGATTTAGGTTATATGTTAGTCCGTCATGATTGAATTGATTTCTGTAAAATGTGCCATAATTCAGAGGCTTTACGCGTTTGCATTGCGTTAATTTGTTATAGGTTTTAATTACAAGATAGTATATGCACTCTGTAATTAGTTCACACTTTTCTCTCTCTCTCTCTAACTTTCTCGTATACTTGGTAACGAGCAAGTATTTGTAATAGTGCAAAAAAAAATGTAAATACAATTTTGCAGCTAAGGCAACTTTAGGCTCCCCTACTTTATACAGAATTCATATGACACATTGTCATCGTTAAAATATATAACTCGGGATTTGGACAATTTTTTGACATTTTTTGAGAAATTTTGACGTTTTGAGAAATGTTGACAAATCTTGACGTTTTATAACTTTCCGGAGCGGAAAAAATATTTTAAAAAAAATGTGTTTTTGTGTTTGTGTGTGTGAGTGTTTGCGTGAATGTGTCTGTGTCTGTTTGTGTGTCTGCGTCTCTGTGTGAGTGTGTGTAATGGGTAAATGTTGTTTGCTGGTCCCATTAGGGTCAATCTCACTATTAGTATTACAAATGAAAACAGCAAAAACTAACAAACAAATGAGGTAAAAATACAATGTCTATGTTATTTGTAAAGTCAATTGCGTTTTTCCCAACGAACGGGATTTACGATTATCAATTACCGAAGAAATCCATTTTTCCAATCAAGCTTAATACAGTGTTACAGCCGATGTCAAACAATTCGTAGCAAAAGTATAATTTTGGAAAGCATTATATTTTTACAATTTTTTTTCTTGTTTATTGTTGTTTATTGCTTTCTCGTTTTGTCTTGAATGATGTGTCATCCTTCACGGTTTAAACTTGCCAGCAACATTTCGTTCGACTGATTTCTTTAAAACTTGGCCCGTGAGTCACAATCCGATGACAATACAATGTAACATGTAATTCGACTTAAGAATTAATTAGTTTCCTATTCAATAAACCTGTTCAGCACTATTATACCTATATTCTTCTTCTTCGTTCTTAATACCTGCATTGTGTTTGATCATTTTGGGGAGTTAATGTTTAACTCATGCTACTCTACGCTATTAACATTTTTGAAGTATTAATATTTTTAAAATTATAACGTTTTAAAAACATGATTCCAAAATAGTAATTTAAACAAAATCCAATCGCAAATAATCTACTCGTGTGCGAGTTGAACCCCAAGACTCACTCACCGAACCCCGGGGTTCGATCGGAATCATCTTAAGAACAGGGGTCGGCGTGGTCGAGTCGGTAAAGCTCATGGTTGCTAAACCGAAAAGTCTCGAGTTCGAACCCTCGGGCAGATGAGGCTCGTTAGCTGGGGACAGCCGCTCTTCTAGGAGAGACAACTCCAAAATTAAACAACTGCTGCCTTGTAATTTGTTCTTGGTTGGACAAAGGCTATGGAAGCAAATCCAAAAAGAAAAGCAGGCTGAAATCGGAGTCAATGGCCTCTATGGCGCATAACCAGTTGACACGTAACGCTTAATTGTGTTGGAGGCGTGGTCGAGTCGGCAAAAAGCTCATGGTTGATAAATTCGAACAAAGTCTCGAGTTCAAACCCACTGGTAGATAAATTTCGATCCCCTTCAACACTAATAATTAAGAACGAAGAAGAAGAAGAAGATCTTAAGAACCATATAAATATAAAAATAAATATAAATATAAAAATAAATAAATAAATATATATATATATATATATATATATATATATATATATATATATATATATATATATATATATATATATATATATATATATATATGTATATATATATATATATATATATATATATATATATATATATATATATATATATATATTTATATATATGTATGTATATATATATGTGTGTGTGTGTATATATATATATAAACACTTTATTTAATTATTATCTTTATATTTTGACATTATGTTTCAATAATTGTAATCTATTTTCTGCCGTAATTTACCAAACATTTGCAATAGTATTAACGGAATGTTAACGCAATTTTTGTTTTTAATTATACATATATTAAGTATATTTTAAAAACTGTATACTTATTATTGGAACATTAATCATTTATTAACCTACTCTTTTAAATGTTGCAGTAAAACAAACTATAGCTTTTTACAATCAAATACAAACATTGCATTTATTTCGTGAATACATTCATAACAGGAAGAAATGTAATCTCTGAAGGGGACGTCAGATTTTTTGCTGATGGGGAAAAACAGACGATGGAAAACAAGGAAGTGCAAAAGACATATGATAAAGACTTAACGAACTGTCTGTTCATTCAACAACCTGGCGTGGCATTCACGTGGGTGACGACTTATTCAGACTTGATATTCATTCATGAAATTGTTATTTACACTAATGGTAAGAACAAAACCATGTATGTCTGTTTCTCAGTTCTGACACATATGTATAAATTTATAGCTTTCAACCATACAAAAATAAACTTTGTTGTTTGTTTGTAAACATTAATGGGTGAAATGGAAAAGCCGGTATAATCCGGCAATAGATACACGTTTTTGATAAAAACGGCTCGGATTTTGAGAAAAGAAATAACAGCGAAAATGTCCTGGTAAATGCTGTTTATAAGAGGAATCGGAAATAAAGCAAACTAATCTTCCGTAACTTGACAACACCATACATTTAATAACACCTACACTACGGGCCTAGTACATTTGTATTTAATATCGTCCACCTAACTGAATCTGTAAGAGATCATACCTGTTCACAAATAAGCAGAATAAAGTACCACTCCCATTCCAGGGTAACAACTGAAAAAGTGAAATGAACCATCTTATAAATTTCTTCCTCCCACTAAAACGGTATATTTTAGAAATTTAAGATAACGGAGTTCACTTACAAATTTAAAGTAATCTAAGTATTAATTCTTTTGAAAATAAACCGTAGTGATCTCCCCTTAACTTTCTCGAATATTCTAATATAAAACTACGAGGGATGGCAACTCAGGACATAAACAATATTCGTAATCCATTTTTAATTACTTAAACTTTTTATAATAGAATGGAATCTCGTAAAAAACAAGAATTGCACACCTAGTGAACGCCTAATAAAATGTGCATAATAGTGCGCAATATTATGAGTACTTTATAAATTTACATGCGTTTTTTTGAGAAATCGGAAATAGCGTAAATTAGTAGTTCCGGTCAACGGAAATTACTCAATATTTGACAGGAGGTAGAAAATTGGACCTTTTACTTACATTTGAAATTTCATTTATCTATCTGAAACAGTACTCAAGTTATAGGCTTTTTAATATTTCAAAGTAGGAAAAGTACCACTTCCGGTTATCGGAAATCGCTCCAACGTTGATCAGGATCTACGATTTAGATAAAATACTTATATATGAAATTTCATCAACCTAGCTGTAACGTTACTCAAGTTATCATGTTTACACACAGACAGACACACACACAGACAGACACACAGACATACGGACAAGATAGCAAAATTATGTTTTTCCGTATCAGTGAGGTGTAATGCGTCGAGATTTGTAGAAATCTCGATTTTTTTTGTACGATTACAAGACTTTCTCTACACTTTGTATATATGAGAAAGTAAAAATCCTAATTGAAATGGTGTTCAGAGTAGGCTACCGTTTTTCCACGGAAATAGAATAAACTTCGAATACAGTTTGCCGGAAATATTTTAAAAGATGGCAGAAACCTGAGTATGCAAACGTCATCAATTCTGTATTGGTAACTATGACTTTTTTGTAAGAGTTATGATATAAAGGGTTTGCGTTGATCTTATATTGAAATTTCTTCAAACTGACTAAAGCGGTGTTTAAATATCAGAATTGGGGTAGGAATCGCCTTTCACTTCTAGGAAAAGAAAATCCTTCAACAATTAACATAAGTCTACAAAAAATATTGTGTCATATTTATCTATGTAATTCCGTCATTCTAACTCACACGGTTCTTTAGCAATCGTGTTCACAGAAACATATACACAAAAGACACGAACGCATACACGATTTAAAAAAAAAAGGCTGTCTTCGGTAGGTTTCAAATGTCAACACGATCAATATCTTGTGTTCCGATTGTAAAGAATGTATCTATACTAACTCTGTCTACGGAATCCGATCGTTATTTTATAAAGTGTTTCACAGGGTTTTCAATAATTGTTTCATACGTGTACTATAACTGTGTGGTTTTTTTTTACTAACCTGCGTTTTGCAATGTTACTTACTTAAGTATTATGTAAATAATCACTGTGTTACTTTTTATTGAGAAAAAGCTTTATTTTAAAATAATTTAGAATTTTTCAAGACACAATTTCTCCTTGAACTTTGGGACTTTGACGAAGAAGCCCTCTTTAACTACACGTCCAATGGGACAGAGGCTATTCACACTATCATCTTCGATGGAGAGTATGAGGTTAAAACAATTATGATAACAAGTGTAGGAAACCTGTCGCTTTGTGAAATTCAAGTCTTTGGTGGTAAATATATACTTTTAAAATTATTGACAACTATAAATCTCCACTTTGATGGGAGGGTGGAGAGTAAAGCAAGAAGCGACTATTATTTTGTTTGAATATTGGCGCGAATATATATATATATATATATATATATATATATATATATATATAATTCTCTACATACACATATATACATATTATATTATTACATAGAAGATTTTTTACTTCTAATCAACCACAAACAATAGCCATACCATAAAGGAGGGGTCTCCAAACTACGGCCCGCGGGCCGGATGCGGCCCTCGAAGACCTCTCATCCGGCCCGCGGAGATCTTTTTGTCCAAGGAAAAATCGTTTGTTGGTGATGGCTGAAGAACTTTGCCCAGAAAATTCAAAGACAAGCCTGGAAGAAAGTGGCCCCCGAACTGAAATTTGATAGTTAATGCGGCCCTCGGAATGAAAAGCTTGGAGACCCCTGCCCTAAAGAATAAACATGGACATAAGAAAAAAAAACCCAGTAACATGGACATAAGAAAAAACAGTAACATGGACATAAGAAAAAACAGTAACATGGACATAAGAAAAACAGTAACATGGACATAAGAAAAAACAGTAACATGGACATAAGAAAAAACAGTAACATGGACATAAGAAAAAACAGTAACATGGACATAAGAAAAAACAGTAACATGGACATAAGAAAAAACAGTAACATGGACATAAGGAAAAACAGTAACATGGACATAAGAAAAAACAGTAACATGGACATAAGAAAAAACAGTAACATGGACATAAGAAAAATTAGTAACATGGACATAAGAAAAAAACCCAGTAACATAAACATAAGAAAAGACAGTAACATGGACATAAGAAAAGACAGTAACATGGACATAAGAAAAAACAGTAACATGAACATAAGAAAAGACAGTAACATGGACATAAGAAAAAAAACCCAGTAACATGAACATAAGAAAAGACAGTAACATGGACATAAGAAAAGACAGTAACATGGACATAAGAAAAATTAGTAACATGGACATACGAAAAAAACAGTAACATGGGCATAAGAAAAAAAATCAGTAAGATTGACATAAGAAAAAAACCAGTAACATTGACATAAAAAACAGTAACATGAACATAAAAACAAAGACAAAAACGAATATAGACACGAACGTGAGCGTAAACGTGAACATTCATGCGCGAAAACACGAACCCAAACATGAATTCGCACATAAGATGAAAATGGAAACAAACATAAACATGAACATGATCATGAATACGTATACGTGTACGTGTATGTGTACGTGTAATTGCACGTGTAGGTGTACGTGTATGTGTATGTGTAGGGTTATGAGTATGTGCATGTGCATGAGTTATTGCATGTTCATGGGTGTGTATGGTTACATGCATGTATATGCCGTGGCGTAGCGAGGTCGGGTGTCACCCGGTGCGGCACTTAATGGGGTCACTCCCCAGAGGCGTAGCGACCCTTCCCTGGGACAAACGTTCAAGTTTTCGATTTGCACCACCCCCCCCCCCCCCACTCAAACTTTCGATTTGCACTCCCCCCCTCAAGTTTTTCTCTATATATTTTGCTATTTTTCGCCTTGGTGTCACACACCCTAAATGGTGTCACCCGTTGCGGTCCGCACCCCCGCACCCCCTCCTCGCTACGCCCCTGTATATATGTGTATGTTTATGTATATGTATATAGGTGTAAATGCTGTACAATTCTTTTTTTACAGAATGTCCTAAGGGAATGTACGGGACTTCTTGTAAGCAACACTGCCTCATCATGTGTTTAAATCATGACTGTCAATTTACTGGGGCCTGCAAATTGTGTGAACCACACAGACAAGGGCTGCATTGTATGGAATGTAAGTTTGTATACACAACACCAAAACATGAACCAAACAAATACGGGCTGTATTGTGTGGAATGTAAGTTTGTATACACAACACCAAAACATGAACCAAACAGATGCAGGCTGTATTGTGTGGAATGTAAGTTTGTATACACAACACCAAAACATGAACCAAACAGATACATGCTGTATTGTGTGGAATGTAAGTTTGTATACACAACACCAAAACATGAACCAAACAGATACAGGCTGTATTGTGTGGAATGTAAGTTTGTATACACAACACCAAAACATGAACCAAACAGATACAGGCTGTATTGTGTGGAATGTAAGTTTGTATACACAACACCAACACATGAACCAAACAGATACGGGCTGTATTGTGTGGAATGTAAGTTTGTATACACAACACCAAAACATGAACCAAACAGATGCAGGCTGTATTGTGTGGAATGTAAGTTTGTATACACAACACCAAAACATGAACCAAACAGATACATGCTGTATTGTGTGGAGTGTAAGTTTGTATACACAACACCAAAACATGAACCAAACAGATACAGGCTGTATTGTGTGGAATGTAAGTTTGTATACACAACACCAAAACATGAACCAAACAGATACAGGCTGTATTGTGTGGAATGTAAGTTTGTATACACAACACCAAAACATGAATCAATTGTATATTCTTTCTATATAGTAAGCTACAGCTAAAACGTCTACCATAATTGGGTGTGTTTCAGAATTACACCACTTGGCATGGTGGCTAACTCGCCACTCTTTAAGACCGTAACGACGCTCCCAGCGGTCGGTCCGCCGGCCTGCCATACCGTAACGACGCTCCCAGCGTCGGATAAAAGTTTCTCTATTTAATTCGTTGTTTTTCGAAATCCATGTTTTTAATCGTAAATCTAGGTCATGATAACGCTAAAACGACCATTTTTCCTTGTATTTACTTCTTGTAGTTTTCTCGTTAGATCGATTTTGTATTTTATAGAATTTTTGTTGTAAACCAACTCGAAAAACGGCATTTTTTAACACTGCGGAATACCGATCAGCGGCCGCGTCTAAACGTTTACGTCGCCGCATTATAAAATTAACGAAAATTAAAGTATTTATACTAAGACTAATCCGATCCATGATTTTTGTAGATAAATGGACGTACTTTCGTTTTCTATGAATAAGAACGCATGAAAAGTTATTCTTATTATTAATTTTCCCGACAGAAGCGTAATTTTTGTACGAAAAAAAACAACTCTTTATTTTCTCTTCTTTAAAACTAAGTAATTATCTTTCTTCAATAAATAAATAATTCCTTAAAATTTATATCAGTGTGTAGGGTATTCAATTACGATTAATTTTTATCATTAATGTGTGGGGTTTAAATTAAAGGATAAAATGATATGGGTCATTTAGCCGCAGGGGTACTGAAAAAAAATGAGGGAAAAAAAATAATTCCGGTAAAACTTGAAAATAATTACGGGCTTAAAGAGATAACGTACAATTAAGAAAAAAAATATCCACAATGGGAAGCTAATGTCTACTATAAAGTAAAATTAAGCAACACATTATTTTTCTAACAAACAACGATTTATAAGAAATATATAAGGCCTGAAATATATCATAAAAAGAACACAATTTGCTTTTCTGCTTTGTTATTTTAACTTATTAGATCTTCTTTTTATTTTGCCAACATTTCTCCAACAAAGCTAAGTAGACTAAGTTCTAGTTCTGTTTTCTCCTGAATTAAACCATTATATTCTCGAATTAGAGGATATGACAAGCACACACTATTGAATGTTGTTAATAGTTTTCGAACCTAATAAAAATAAAAAAGACATCGTTAAAGCTAAATTAACATAACATTTTATTTATTTCGAAATCGACAAAGAACAAAAACAAGTACATATTAAAAAATATAAACAATAGTATAGTAAGTTTTAGTATAATATCGATGAACTGAAAGTTAAAATAAAGGACATATTATATATATATATATATATATATATATATATATATATATATATATATATATATATATATATATATATATATTTATATATATATATATATATACATACATATATATATATATATATATATATATATATATATATATATGTATGTATGTATATATATATATTTATTAGTGATTTGTGAAATATATGGTGTTTATCTGCAACTAAGAACTATAATATGTGCGTGTGTTTACCCATACTGTTTTTTTTTATAGACGTCGAAATTTTGTGTCTTTACGTATAATTCTTGATACTGATATTTTTCTCCGTGGGAGGGGGGGATAAGCCACATATAATTCTTTACCTCACCCAACCATGCGGGACACCACGCACCACTACGACTCTTTAACCCTCCTCCCGCCCCCCTCCCTCGCTCTCCAGGCATGCGCAACTGTGTGTACCCACCCACCCCATTTGGACAACTGTGTCTTTCAGAAAATTTTCACCCGCCACTAAATAGCGGCGTATGCTAGGCCGCGGGTCGGCGTGTATAATAATAAACAACCTTTTACACAACAAAACAGAAAAGCGTGTGTTGCTATTTTATGTATCGAATATATAAATACTTAAATTTAGTTAAAGAATCACACTTTTCTATTTAAATAACGGTTCATTTATCATATATTAAAAGAATAGTTTATTTTCTCTTTTATAGTGCATAATTAAATAAAAACTTGTATTAACACGCTTTATATGATTGTTTTTGTATTGACCTAAACATTTGATTCATTTATCATAAATCATTTTTAATTTTTTTTTCTCAAAACGTTGTTTAAAACTCTAACTTATATTTTCCCCAGTCTTAGAAAATCCGAACCATAGGATAACGAGTACAGAGCGAATAGTGAAACCAGAATCTAAATCCGAAGTTGGACACTCGGCGCCACATATGACAACCTTACTATTTGTTCTATTAATCATACCGCTTTTAATATTACTAGCTATTTGCAAAAGATCTAGGTAAATATAACATGACAATTTTAATGATATATCGCAATACATATTTTCACAATACGCCTTATGGCATTTGTTTTTTACTGATAAAGCATGATTGGCAATTATTTTTTAATGGTCTAACATTTGTTAATTTGAAAGAAATATTTAGAATCAAAACACTTTTATTAGTTATGAATAGTTTTTTTTAAAATATTAAATCGTAACATCATTGCAGACGATCAAATCAAGTCTACGAATAAGAAAAGAGGATATTTCCTGAAAATAAGGTTTATGTTTCTTTTTTTATACCGTAAAAAAATAAACTAGGCATTTATTTAAAAAAAAAAAAAGACTGCTTATGAATTTTGCATTTCTTACACTGTAGTTGACTGCCGATTAAATGGTCTAACATAAGAAAAACGCTTGGTACAAAATTGTCTCCTCAGATGTTCACACGCAACCTACTGGTTACAGAATCACACAGGAGATGTGTCCATCATTTGCTGTGGAAATAAATGTTGTGCATATAAATAACATTTTGTTATATATATATATATATATATATATATATATATATATATATATATATATATATATATATATATATATATAGGGCCAACATACTGCTAAATTCCAGATTGTGTATATAAGTCTACGTTTTTTAAATTTTTTAAATTTTTAAAATTTTTTCTTATGTCAGTATAGCTTGATAAAAGCGTATGCACGCTGTGTGGAATTTTTAAAATACGTAGAGAAAAATGTTTTCTTTTTCAAACAGTGCCTGGTTTTTTAAATTTTACTTTATATAGCTGACTTTAATTTTTATATTAAATTATATATCATGATAGTGATAACATAATTCAACGATTGTTAATTATTCTCCAAACGCAATACTTTTAATATTTTTTTTAATACTTTAAAATGTTTTATCAGAGAGTTTACCAACATTCCTGTATTAGTTTTACATATAGGAGTCGGATTTCAAAGTATGTATTAATTTTAGTCCACTAAACATTGAATAACCTTCAACTTAAGCCCTTTCAAACTGTTAAGCGAAAATTGAAATATTCCTAGAATTTAACTTAAATTATAAACATACATACCTAAATATAATAGAGAAAAAAACAAAAGCTTTATATTTATATGATTATTCTTTATATTTAATCAAATTTAAAACTGAATAGAGCTTAAAAATGATCTTTTAACCCAATTCATAAAACTTAAATGTAAAAACAAATGTAGATGTTTAGTTAAAAAAACATTTTAAATAGAACATAGATCACTGTAAGATAACAAATATAGCATAAATCAAGCTAACAACACACAAAAAAAGCAATTGTACAAAACCATTATTAAATCCTAGATTTTACACTGCTCTTAAAATTTAACTACAAATCTGAACTTATCATAAACCCTAACAAAAAATGTATAACATCATAAATTAATAACAATTAGAAATATTATGAAACTTCTTTGACTCAAATTCTAAAACGTATTAACATATACATCAATTTTGCTGCATATTATTACGTTCTATTTTTAGCCTCATTGTTCATTTTACAACCGACAAAGTAATAATATCATACCTACATTGAACATCCTAATTATCATGAACAAAAACACTAAACTTAAATTATATACAAGTAATTACATATAATCTATAACATTAACTCAATAGTATACTTTCTTTCAACATATACATCCCGCAAAACCAACGAAACATCTTGAAATTGTATAACTAAATAAAAAAATCATAAGTAAAATACTTTGACGTAATAAGGCTAGTTAAATAAGCTTGTATATATTTTAATACAAATGAAACTTGAATATATACGTTCAAACAATAATTTTAGATTCTAATGGAATCGAAATTATGTATTATACAAAAAAATTACAATAATGCATTCACATCTAACGACAATAGGTCATATTGTCAAAAAGCTACAAAACATAAACTGGTTAATTCTCACTTCTACGAAAGCTTACCATAATAAATACAACTGTGTTGTGTTAGATTGGTCAAAGAGAAGTTTTTCTGTTAATTTTTCTAGACACTTTTATACATGTTTGATAAAGTTGTTTGCGGACGGCGTGGTCTAGCGATGGGGCGCTAGACTGCTAACCCGATAGAAATGTAGTTCGAATCCGGGATCAAGTGAGTTGAACGTTCCTGAGTCCCATAGTGCTGACCACATTATCCGTTTAAATTCCGTTTTCACAAAACATATGAACTCAACTTCATCTGCCTAATGGATCTTTAGGTCTAAATAGGAATCTTTACTAATTAAAGTAGGTTATAATTCAGGTACATAGATACTATTTACATACTGTTCATTATAATTGTATGTTCTATGTGTTGCTATACCATGTTCATACAATTTTAATTCAATGTGTAAATATGTTAATTGGTAGTAAGATGTACATGACAAGGGCTACTGTTTGCCCACATTGAAGACAATTAGCCTTTTAAAATCATTTTATAAACTCTAGTAACTTCACATTTTAAGTCAGCAGGTAATCACTTAAACTAGCTATATTTGATAACCCAAATACTATAATTTTTTAAACCCTAACGCAAAACCCAGAACGTGATCTTATCTCAACCTCTGTACACTTTAGTCAGTCCAAATGTTTATAATACAGGAATACACACTGACCATCAACACAGGAATACACACTGACCATCAACACAGGAATACACAATGCCCTACAACACAGGAATACACACTGACCATCAAAACAGGAATACACACTGACCATCAACACAGGAATACACAATGCCCTACAACACAGGAATACACACTGACCATCAAAACAGGAATACACAATGACCATCAACACAGGATTACACAATGCACTACAACACATGAATGCACACTGAACTATAACACGGGAATACACACCGACCTATAACACATAAATACACACTTTACCATAACACAGATATACACATTGACCTTCAGCACAGGAATACAAACTGACCTATAACACAGGAATACAAACTGGCCTATAACACATGAATGCACACTGAACTATAATAACAGATATACATACAAACATATAACACAGGGATACACATTTACATATAACACTTAACAAGTCACCAATCCATGTGAATTTGTTGAATGTGCTCTACTATATGTGAAAAATGATTTATTTGCTTTTTACTTAATTTCTATGATTTATGTACATAAACCTCAAAAGTAATCATTAACCAGTAGACTTAGATAAACTTAATTTAAACCATTTAAATGCTTATCACGCAAACTACAGGTCTATAATTGTTTTGAGACGTGTAAAAATTCTAATGCCATTTAGAACTTAAGTAAGTAGGGTTACGGGTCTTGTTGTTATGGGTTATGAAGTGTTGGGTTTTACGACGATCGTACAAAACAGAAGCCTCTTTATTTCCAAGTAACAAAACGAAAGTGTGTATATGTAACTACATGAAGGGAGGTAACGTCTATCGTCTGTGAATAGCATGTATAAACACGGTTATCTAACTTGCATTTTAAGCAATGGTCCACCAACTTTTCTTACAACAGGTTTGTTATATTAAAATAATTGTCAGTAATTAGAAACCGAAACTTTATCAATGTCTACATTTCAAGTATGTATAAGTTTTGCTGTAGGCCTTTACGAAATTGTGTCTGTATTTTAATGCCATAAAATGTGTTAAAACAACTCTATAAAAGACAACCCGTGACCTATGTTATATGTATATCACACAATTAAACAAGTCTCAAACTTAATTTATCACAGCCAAAAATAATGTAAAAGAACACCCTCAGGCAGCAGATGAAATACATGGTAGGTGTAGGATGTCTTGTGTTGGACATAGCCCAGGTGTTTGTGGCTGATCACTGACATTCTATCCATTTGCAGATCCTTGTGTACAATTTTTGGCAATTTTTAAAAAATATTTTTTTATTTTAGTTGACAATGTATATTTCCGTCTTATTGTCGCATAGCTGTGTCCCATGATGTATCGATGTTCTATTGTCACACATTTGTGTCTCTTGTATTTCCCCTAACGGTTGATGATGTATCGATGTTCTATTGTCACTTAGATGTGTGTATTGCTCCTGATGGTTCATGATGTATCGATGTTCTATTGTCACACAGTTGTGTGTATTGCTCCTGACTGTTCATGATGTATTGATGTTCTATTGTCATACTGTTGCGTCCCTTGTATTGCTCCTGACAGTTCATGATGTATCGATGTTCTATTGTCACACTGTTGCGTCCCTTGTATTGCTCCTGACAGTTCATGATGTATCGATGTTCTATTGTCACACTGTTGCGTCCCTTGTATTGCTCCTGACAGTTCATGATGTATCGATGTTCTATTGTCACTCAGTTGTGTTTATTGCTCCTAACAGTTCATGATGCATCGATGTTTTATTGTCACACAGTTTTGTTTATTGCTCCTAACAGTTCATGATGTATCGATGTTCTATTGTCAAACCAAAATGTGAACTTTATTTTTAAGTAAGATTTTAACAACAGCACACGCTTGTTTTATCAATGTATAGGCAAATATATGTGTAGAAGCTATGTAGATTTAACCTCCTTATTTGATTACGCATGTACCTACATTGGTATAAATGTTACCATTTGTGATTGAAATTTATTTTAGTTTTCACCTTATATTCTAAACAACCTTGACCTTACCCCGTTGTTCACGTGCCTAAATAAGTTGTGTTTTTTTTTTAACTTTACTTCAACAATGGGTTTAATGCAGCTTAAAACAGGTTGTGAAATACCTGTAAGATATTTATAGATGGCTTTGTTGTTCGTATCCTTGTTTCTGGGAACCCGTATGGTCGACTTTTCTGTTTAAAACACAACTAAATGTGGGTGGTTTTGTTTGTTAGTAGTGGACAGTGAGTGGGTCTGTTTGTTGGTAGTATACAGTGGGTGGGTCTGTTTGTTGTTAGTGGACAGTGGGTGGGTCTGTTGGTAGTGGACAGTGGGTGGGTCTGTTTGTTGGTAGTGGACAGTGGGTGGGTCTGTTTGTTGGTAGTGGACAGTGGGTGGGTCTGTTGATAGTGGACAGTGGGTGGGTCTGTTTGTTGGTAGTGGACAGTGGGTGGGTCTGTTTGTTGGTAGTGGACAGTGGGTGGGTCTGTTGATAGTGGACAGTGGGTGGGTCTGTTTGTTGGTAGTGGACAGTGGGTGGGTCTGTTTGTTGGTAGTGGACAGTGGGTGGGTCTGTTGGTAGTGGACAGTGGGTGGGTCTGTTGATAGTGGACAGTGGGTGGGTCTGTTTG